GAGCCCTCCACGGGCCCATGGGTCGTATGAGGCCTACCCACCTCCGAACGGGTCGCCACTCAGGGCCATGGCGACGGTGCCGATCGGCCTCGGTCAACTGCGCAGCGGCGCCGGCTTGATGCTGTCTTCACGCGTGGTCCACCCGCGGCGGAGACGTGCGACGCGTCGTGGCCGTCCTGGTTCAGGGGGGCGCAGCCGCGCTGCCGACGACGACGACGACGACGACGACGACGACGACGACGGCGACCAAGTTGATTATACAGGCTTGCGCTACAGGCGAGTCTCGCGGTCTCCATGGCCCTCGCCACTCGGTGCGGGCCAGTTCGGGGCAGCACAGCACCTCACACGCGCGCCGTCCGCCGTCCTCCCTCCTCCCCTTCCGCCTCCTCGGCCACCTCCGCCCGCCACGCCCCCCGCCCTCCCTGCTTCCCCCCTCTTTGCTCCCCAGCCCACTCTTCCTCCCTCGTCCCCTTCCCTGTCTACCCCTCGGCGCTGCTTGCCAGAATCGAAGATGAAGGAGAGGCTGCGAAGGCGGCCAAGGATGGTTGAACTCGGGATGATATCCCTCTCCTCAATTTTCTTGGAGCTATCACCTCTCGACCTTTCAAGGCGCTGTCCATCCATCGATCCCCTCCCCCTCCTTCTTCACCCTCCTGCCCCCCCTCCTCCTCCTCCTCCTCCTCCTCCTCCTCCTCCTCCTCCTCCTCCTCCTCCTCCTCCTCCTCCTCCTCCTACGTGTGCTGGCTACCCGTCGGACATCCTACGCTGCTGTACGTCTGCTATTGCTTTGGAAATGTCGGTCACGGGACGAGCACTCAAATTTCAGAGAGCTGCCACCGCAGCACTATACGAGCAGTTCGTCACACCGTTCCCGTTGTACGTGATCTTCGAGACCAGGCTGGCTCGCTACTTTACTATGTATGAACCCTTCTTACATCGGGTGCCGTGGGAGGCGATTCAGATGTTGATGCAGCTGCTGCCCACGAGCTGGGTATTCCCTGTTATTAAGACATGGGCCTCTGCTTGGCTCACAAGTTACCGGATAAGTTACTCTTCTGGGAAACGGCGGTGTATCTTTGGGTGTCATACTGGTGCTGACAGGCAGTGCCACTACATGCGGTGCCAGCGCCTTGTTCGGGCTGTCGGCCGTGCTCTGGGTCGCTCACTCCCTACCTTTCTCCATGAGCGACTGTGCCTGACGGCACCGTGTGTGGAACGGGTGGAGGAGATTGTGGTTATGTACACTACGTATCACACTGTGCGTTATCGTGGGGGAGTTACTACTACTGCTCTGAACTCTGCGACTCGGGCTGCGGTCAGAACTCTTCGAATGGCGTCTCCAACAGACCAGCTGGATAAGAAATGGAAGTCGCCGCCGTTCATCATACCGACACTGCGCACGGTCACCGATAGTCTCTCCACCTCCTCGGCTGACGACCCCGACCCCGTCCATGCCGCTCGGGACGCTGCAAACGAGGAAGGCTTGGCCCCTGGCCGGTCTCCATGCCTGACTCCACGGCTCGTCCCTACGACGCCAAGCCCTGGCACCCCGTCGACGCTGATCGCCACACCCGAACGTGTTGAACATGGTGAAGATAGTGACGTCAATGTTACTGGCAGAACGCAAAGTCCTGGGCACGGGTGCTCCTCGAGCCCGTTGCTGCAGGCTCAGTCGTCGCCATTGGTGCTGGAGGTCACTGGCAGAACGCAAAGTCCCATGCAAGAGTGCTCCTTGAGTACGTGGCAGCAGGCTCAGTCGTCGCCTATGCCGCTGGAAGCTACTGGCAGAACGCAAAGTCCTGGGCACGGGTGCTCCTCGAGCCTGTTGCTGCAGGCTCAGACGTCGCCAACGTTGCTGGATGATGGGGGAAATCCTGGCCACTGCGCTTCAAGGATGAACTGTGAGTGTGGCGACGAAAATAATCTGCCGCCCGCAAGCACGCTTGGTCCCCATATCCATAGCGTGGCCGTCCGCCGCTCGCGTTGCTCCATGGTTGTCCTCTCGACCCGCCCTCTTGCTCCTGAGGAGGTCCCTCCTGCTGCTTCCGCCCTCCCTCGCTCTCGCGCGCCGCCTTCCGCGGCTATGATTGAAACATGGCTCGCTGCCCACATGCACGTGATGAACGACATAGGCAGGCGCCCACCGCCCGCCTCGCCGCCTGCTGCCGCCGCCCATGCTTCTCTTTCCTCCGCTCTGGTCGCTGGCGAAGCCAGTCACTCGAGTGTGGAGAGGTGTGCTCAGCTGTTGAGCTGAGCACAGTGGTCGGTCGGAGGCACCTCTCCTCTACGCTGCGCTCCTCCTCCTCCTCCTCCTCCTCCTCCTCCTCCTCCTCCTCCTCCTCCTCTCATCATCATCATCATCATCATCATCATCATCATCATCCTCTTCCTCCTCCTCCTCCTCCTCCTCCTCCTCCCCGTCTTCCCCCCCTACTCCCCTCCCTCCTCCCCGCCTGGCCCCCCCGCCTCCCCCGCCGCTACCATTGCCTCGCTCCCCGAGCTCCGGGGGGGACGACAGCGACCCCGTGCGCTTCTTCCTCCTCGCGGCCATCCTGACGGTGCTCGGCCAGGCAGCCCTGCGCCGGGGGAGGAGATCGAGTAGGAGATCGACTACGACACTGATTTATCCCAAACTTCAAATGTTCGTATCATCTAAGGAAAATGCGCAGATCCTTTGTCGATCTACAAACGATGTTGTAGATTTGGCGTTTGGGGGCGATTATGTAGTCGATCTCCTACTCGAGCAGCGCCCGCGTGCTGATCGTTTTCTTATTCATTGTTTTGCCGATCGGCGCGGCCCTCGCACCCCCGCCATGGAGTAGATCTTGGCTGTCTTTGGCGTCTGTTCCGAGCAGGTGGGGTTTCCCCCATAGGATGCATTGTTGCAGACAGTCGCATTCAGCAGAGGTCTGGAGCCAGACCCCCCCTCCCCATCCCCTTCCGCCCAATGTCGAAACGCCGAATGAGAAAAAGTTCACGAGGCCGGGGAAGGAACAGCGTACCGATACCGCCGCCCTTGCCTCGTTTTCGCCGTGTCGGGCCTCCTGGGAGGCCCTCGCCTTCACGGCCCACAGCTGGGTTCGCCTGGAGATGCCGGTCGGAGGGGGGAGGCCCGAGGTGGAACTGCGTACCGATACCGCTGCCCTTGGCTCGTTTGTCGCCGTTGCGGGCCTCCCGGGAGGCCCTCGCCTTCACGGCTGGAATCGCCTCGAGATCCTGGGCAGAACGCACCACGGGAGATATCCGGGGAGTCGTAGTATCGGTGGCTTGTGGTTTCCCAGGAGGAGGAGGGGGAGGAGGAGGAGGAGGAGGAGGAGGAGGAGGAGGAGGAGGAGGAGGAGGAGGAGGAGGAGGAGGAGGAGGAGGAGGAGGAGGAGGAGGAGGAGGAGGAGGAGGAGAGAGGAGGAGGAGGAGGAGGAGGAGGAGGAGGATGAGGAGGAGGAGGAGGAGGGGGAGGAGGAGGAGAGGAGGAGGAAGGGAGGAGGAGAGGAGGAGGAGGAGGAGGAGGAGGAGGAGGAGGAGGAGGAGGAGGAGGAGGAGGGTTTCGAGGAAATGCCCTTGCATGCTCCTCCAGGCCCCCGCGGGCTTCTCCAATCATCTGCCTGCGGTCACGAGCAGCGGCCGTTCGGCCAGTGTCGGTCTTCACCCCATGAGCCCAGCGAAGAATCCAACCAGATGCACAAGCGAGTACCGCGATGGAGATGAAGCGACGGGGGGGTGTATGCCCTTTGTGGGCTCCGGAAACGGCAGGGCCGGTTTTTCACCGTTCCCACAAAAAAATGTACCTTGAAAATGGAAGCGGCAAAAAAAGGCAACCGGACACGGCAAAAAACGGTTCCAGGATTGGAACCTGAGCCGGAACCGGTCAAACAACGGCGACGGAACCGGTAAAAAAACGGCGTCGGAACTGGCAAAAAAACGGTAAAACGGAACCGGTAAAAAAACGGCCCTGTCGTTTCCAGGGCCCACTAAGGGCATTCCAGCTCCGAGACCAGCGCACGCGAGGGGGCAGCTGCTTTCAGAGGCAGCGCGCCGCAGGAAGAGCGAGGCGTGGGGCCTTTTGGTGGAGCTCCCCGTGGGGCCACGTGGCGCTGCACTGGGTGGGAGCGGCGCGTGCGAGCACCGGCGCTGGGGCCGTCGGTGGAGCTCCCTGTTCGGGTATGGCCAGGACCCCGGGTAAGGGGACCCGGTGAGTGGTAGGGCCCTGGAGCCTTCGAATTGGCCAGAATTACTTTAAACCAGGTTTGCCATAGCTGGTGTTTTTGTCGGGTGACGGCAGTTCCGGTTAGTGGAAATGGGACGGGGGGGCGCCCCCGGTACAGATCACGAAACCAGGTTCTTTTCAACCCAGTTCTACCAACGCCCGAACTGTGGGTCAACGAAAAGCTGCATTGTGCTGGGGAGACGAATGCAAACACGGCACTGTACTGGGGGGCGGGAAACGCATGCGAACACCGGCGCTGAGGCCTTCTGTGGAGCTCCCTTTTGGGGTACGAAGCGCTGTATGGGGTGGGGCAGGCGCATGCGAGCCACGAAGCGATGTACTGGGCGGGGGAGACGCATGCGAACGCCGCCACTGCGGCATTCGGTGGGGCCTCTTTTGGGGCCACGAAAAGCTGTTATGGGGGGGGAGACGCATGCGAACACCCGCACTGGGGCCTTCGGTGCAGCTCCCTGTGGGACCACGAAGCGCTGCATTGGGTGGGGGAGGCGCATGCGAACACCGCCACTTGGGCCGTCGGTGGAGCTCCCTGTGGGGCCACTGGGCGCTGTATTGAGTGGGGGAGACTCATGCGAACACCGGCAATGAGGCCTTCGGTGGATCTCTCTTATGGGGCTACGAGGCGCTGCACTGGGTGGGGGAGGTGCATGCGAACACCGCCACCAGGACCGTCGGTGGAGCTCCCTATGGGGCCACTGGGCGCTGCACTGGGTGGGAGAGACGCATGCGAACACCAGCAGTGAGGCCTTCAGTGGAGCTCCCTGTGGGACCACGTGGCGCTGCATTGAGTGGGGAAGGCGCATGCGAACACCTGCAGTGAGGCCTTCTGTGGAGCTCCCTATGGGACCACGAAGCGGTGTACTTAATGGGGGGGACGCATGCGAACACCGCTACTGTAACATTCGGTGGATCTCTTTGTGGGACCACGAAAAGAATGAGGGGTGTGCCAGCACGAGTGTCGATTATTGTTGAAATGACGACGACGATGATGGCCATGATGATGATGATGATGATGATGATGATGATGATGATGATGATGATGATGATGATGATGATGATGGTGATGGTGATGATGATGATGATGCTGATGCTGATGCTGATGCTGATGCTGATGCTGATGCTGATGATGATTATGATGATGATGATGGTGATGATGGTGGTGGTGGCGTTGTGGATGATGCTGATGATGGTGATGAAGATATGATGTTGATGATGATGATGGTCATGTGGAGGAGGAGGAGGAGGAGGAGGAGGAGGCAGAGGAAGAGGTGGGGGGGAGTAGGAGGAGGATGGGCATGATGCTGATGCTGATGGTGATTATTATGATGAAGAAGAAGAAGATGATGCTGATGATGATGTGATGATGATAATGATGCTGATGGTGCTGCTGATGCTGATGCTGATGATGATGATGATGATGATGATGATGATGATGATGATGATGGAGGAAGGGAGGAGGGGGAGGAGGAGGAGAGGAAAGGAGGAGAGGCACGTGGCGCTGTCTTTTCAAACCGAGGAGCCAATACCATAGGATGGTTGGGAAACAAGGCTCAAGCAAGAGAAACAGTGGCTGGAGGAGGAGGAGGAGGAGGTGGAGGCGGAGGAGGCTTCAGCCCTGAGGATTCCTTATCCAACGAGAGCGGCTGTAAAATAGACTGCCAAAGCACGATTCGATGTTCGCCGTCTTCCAAACCCTGGATTCCGTACCCCGTGCTCCTTTATGTTATTCAATGCTTTCAAAGCAGCCAGTCTGGGGATCGGGGCGGACGATGAGGTAATGTAGGGGAGCGAGCGCGGAAGAAGGATGGAGGAGCGAGCAGGGAAGAATGAGGAGGGCGGAACGATACAGGACCAGGGGGGAGGGAGGATGAGCGGTGCGGAATGAAGGATTCGGGGAACGAGGGCGGCAGGGGGATCTCTCGGGGGATTCCTTCTGGGACCCTCTTGTGGGCCCTCTTTAAGGCTTGTTGGTGCCCCCTGGAGCCGTCTTGGGGTCGTCGGGGGTATTCCTAAGCTCGTATGGAGCAAAACAACATGTGAATCAAGAAATGTGGAAACTCCTGGAGCAAGGTGCATCACATAACTTGTTGCCTATACGTTGGGGGTCCCAGGGGAATGTCAGCGGGACTCCTTTGGGGGGATCTTGTAGGGTTCTCGCGGTTTCTGAGTGGCCCAGCATATTCGAGTCTCTTTTGGGTATGTGAGCTCCTGTCAAGTCTTGGACCATGTGTCAGCCGTCTTGGAGTGGTGTCAGGCTGTCTCAAGGCCGCCTGGTGGTCGCGAGGAGCACTGGCAAGGATTAGGTACGTTTGAGTCTGCGTGGAGCGGGGTGGCCCCTGGAAGACCACGGGGTCTTGAGCAAACGGCTCACAAGCATTCTCTCACGCCCCCCTCCTCCAATGTGCAAGTGCACAGTAGTGTATAAAACAACGGGCATGCCAGCCTGCACAAGCATGTCAGTTTCAGATGTCTTGCCGACGCATATATGACCTGACAGCCGAAACGTTCGAATGCATGGAAAGTTGATCAGCATCCTGGCCGTTCGGATGTCGTGTTCTTGTCCGTGGCCTGCGCGCCAGGCGACCATGGCCGCCAGCCTGAACGCGGAGTGGGAGCGGCTCTCCGAGGAAGCAGCGGCTGGGAGGAGTGGCGTCGGAGCATCGGCGTGGAGGCAGAGGAGGGGGGACGGAGGGGGAGGAGGAGGAGGAGAGCTCACTAAGCCAGGCGATTCGTGTTGGTAAGGCAGGAGGAGGGGGAAGGAGGAGGAGACGCCATTGGTTTTGGAATTAAACATCGCCCCCGTTGTATAAAATCTATCAGCGGCGTGCCGCATTTGCGTATTCAGTGCCGCTTCGCAGCCCAGACAGGGCGCGCGGTGCGCAGGGAGTGGCCCCTGAGCGCAGTCTCTATCCACGCTGGGGTCGCAGGGCGTGGCAGGCGTGGCCTGACGCCAAGAGGGGGTGCGCAGGAATCTGCCCCTGCACGCAGGGCGCCAGGGCGGTCGCGGGGGCGCCTCCAGCGATCCAGTCTGCCCCGCCTCCCTTTTGTTTTCTATAGGCGCACTACAACGCTGGGGAAAACAATGTGTTAAAGTGTCTCCCAAAAATAATTGTTTAAACAGCTTTTAGACATTATCTCCTTCAGTGAAATGAATCCTTGTAGGGGCATTTAAAGATTTCGACAGGGAGTTTTGAGGGAGAGTGTATTGCAATATCGTTGACGAGTGTTGGGTTTGCACTGGTTCTCCTCCCCCTCCTCCTCCTCCTCCTCCTCCTCCTCCTCCTCCTCCTCCTCCTCCTCCTCCTCCTCCTCCTCCCTCCTCCTCCTCCTCCTCCTCCTCCTCCCCCCCCTCCTCCTTCCCCTCCTCCTCTCTTTCCTCCCCTCAGGTTGCCCAGGGCCTGCCAGAGAGCTCCCCGCCCGCAGGAGCTGCACTACTACCAGGAGCACGACCACGACGGCGATCCAGACGACCCGGGCGACCCCGGCGACCACACCGACGAGAGCGCAGATTACGATGTCGCCTGAGCTGGCGCGGTTCGCGCGACACGCCGTCCTGAGGCGGAATTCGTTACCCCACCCACCAAACCACCCCAGCCCAACCCGAAGGCGTCGATTTGCCCTCCATTTCCAGTAGGGGGGGGTCCAGGAGCATTGAAATTATCCCGGCAAAGCAACCTAACAGCGATGTGTAGGAGCATATCTGGAAGCATTCCCCTTACGATTCAGATGAGAACCCAGTTGTAGAATTCTGCTGTTCTCGCAGTCGTAGTCGCATTCGCGATGACAGTCGCAGTGGCAACGGCAGTCGCAGTCACAGCCTCAGCCTCAGCCTGCCTCAGCCTCAGCCTCAGCCTGCCTCAGCCTCAGCCTGCCTCAGCCTCAGCCTCAGCCTGCTTCAGCCTCAGCCTCAGTCTGCCTTCAGCCTCGGCCTCAGCCTCAGCCTGCCTCAGCCTCAGCCTGCATCAGCCTCAGCCTCAGCCTCAGCCTGCCTCAGCATCAGCCTGCCTCAGCCTCAGCCTCAGCCTGCCTCAGCCTCAGCCTCAGCCTGCTTCAGCCTCAGCCTCAGCCTTCAGCCTCAGCCTCAGCCTCAGCCTCAGCCTCAGCCTCAGCCTCAGCCTCAGCCTGCCTCAGCCTCAGCCTCAGCCTCAGCCTCAGCCTGCCTCAGCCTCAGCCTGCCTCAGCCTCAGCCTCAGCCTGCTTCAGCCTCAGCCTCAGTCTGCCTTCAGCCTCGGCCTCAGCCTCAGCCCTCAGCCTCAGCCTGCATCAGCCTCAGCCTCAGCCTCAGCCTGCCTCAGCATCAGCCTGCCTCAGCCTCAGCCTCAGCCTGCCTCAGCCTCAGCCTCAGCCTCAGCCTGCTTCAGCCTCAGCCTCAGTCTGCCTTCAGCCTCGGCCTCAGCCTCAGCCTGCCTCAGCCTCAGCCTGCATCAGCCTCAGCCTCAGCCTCAGCCTCAGCCTGCCTCAGCATCAGCCTGCCTCAGCCTCAGCCTCAGCCTGCCTCAGCCTCAGCCTCAGCCTGCTTCAGCCTCAGCCTCAGTCTGCCTTCAGCCTCGGCCTCAGCCTCAGCCTGCCTCAGCCTCAGGCAGCCAGCCTCAGCCTCAGCCTCAGCCTGCCTCAGCCTGCAGCCTCAGCCTCAGCCTCAGCCTCAGCCTCAGCCTCCTCAGCCTCAGCCTCAGCCTGCAGCCTCAGCCTCAGCCTGCTCAGCCTCAGCCTCAGCCTGCCAGCCTCAGCCTCAGCCTCAGCCTCAGCCCTCAGCCTCAGCCTGCATCAGCCTCAGCCTCCTCAGCCTGCCTCAGCCTCAGCCTCCTCAGCCTCAGCCTCAGCCTCAGCCTCAGCCTCCTCAGCCAGCCTGCCTCAGCCTCAGCCTCAGCCTGCCTCAGCCTCAGCCTCAGCCTGCTTCAGCCTCAGCCTCAGTCTGCCTTCAGCCTCGGCCTCAGCCTCAGCCTGCCTCAGCATCAGCCTGCCTCAGCCTCAGCCTCAGCCTCAGCCTGCCTCAGCATCAGCCTGCCTCAGCCTCAGCCTGCTTCAGCCTCAATCTCAGCCTGCTTCAGCCTCAGCCTCAGTCTGCCTTCAGCTTCGGCCTCAGCCTCAGCCTGCCTCAGCCTCAGCCTGCCTCAGCCTCAGCATCAGCCTACCTCAGCATTCAAAATGTGGCCCGGGAATGGAGTTCTGGGAACTCGAAGAACACGAAGTGGCCTACAGTTGGCTCTGGGCATTTAAAATCATGCCCAGGAATGGAGTTCTGGGAACTCGAAGACCACGAAGTGGCCTACAGTTGGCTCCGGGCATTCGAAGTCATGGCCATGAATGGAGTTCTGGGAACTCGAAGAACACGAAGTGGCCTACAGCTGGCTCCAGGCATTCAAAATCATGCCCAGGAATGGAATTCTGGGATCTCGAAGAACACGAAGTGGCCTACAGTTGGCTCCGGGCATTCAAAATCATGCCAAGGAATGGAGTTCTGGGAACTCGAAGACCACGAAGTGAGTTAGGGTTGGCTAAAAAAGGAGTCCCCGGATTCCCGGGGCACCCGTCCGGCATCTGCCCAGACCCCCTTGGGGAGTCATGATGCTCTCTTTTGACCCCGCTAGAAACCTATCAGTCTTCGCCGTTAGGTAAAAACGCATAGGGAGTCCATACCCCCTCAACCCGAAATTCGGGTCTTCGGGTTGGGTTGGGGTTAAGTCGGGCGTGTCCCCCTTCAGGTATTCGGGTTGGGTTGGGTTGGGGATTTTCGACGAACATTAAAAATACCCCCAAAATAATACAAAAATTGTCGGGGGACCATTTTTTGACTTTTGTTTGACCATTTTGGTGTATTTTTGGTGTTTTTTTATTGTTCGTCAAAAATTCCCTGTAGGGGGACAGGCCCGACCTAAGGTTGGGGTGGTCTGGTGGGTAGCCAATCCGAGCACACGTCGCGGAGATGGCCTGCCCGCGTGCACGCCCCAGTTGTGCCAGTGAGCCGAGGGCGTGCGCAGCAGCCACTGTGCCCAGCAGGGCCCCGGCCCAGCCCCGTCCTGCAGCCAGCTGCGAAGGAGGAGGCGGAGGAGGAGGCGGAGGAAGAGGAGGAGGAGGAGGCGGAGGAGGAGGAGGAGGACGAGGAGGAGGAGGAGGAGGAGGAGGAGGACGAGGAGGAGGGGGAGGAAGAGGAGGAGGAGGAGGAGGAGGAGGAGAGGAGGAGGAGGAGGAGGGGGAGGAGGAGGAGGAGGAGGAGGAGGACAAGGAGGAGCAGGAGGAGGGCGAGGAGAAGGAGAAGGATATCCTATACGACCACCCTTCGGGTGATATGGAGGTTCGGGGGGGCGGGAGGAACCAACGTCTGACTCGATCGGTCTCACTATTGATCCCACTATCGATCCCACTATCGGTCCCGCTCGATCGATCTCACTCGATCGATCTCACAATCGATCTCGCTCGGTCTATTTCAATTGATCGATCTCACAATCGATCTGACTATCGGTCTCAAAATCGGTCTCACTATCGATCCCACTATCGATCTCACAATCGATCTCACATTCGGTCTCACTATCGATCTCAGTATCGATACCACAATTGATCCCACAATCAAAGTCATATTCATCATCAACATCATCGCCATCAACGTCATCAACATCATCATAATCATCGGGACATCATCAACATCATCACCTCATCATCATCAACATCATCATCATCACCACCATCATCATCTTCATCGGGACACCATCATCATCACCATCAACATCATCAGCATCATCATCATCGGGACACCATCATCATCATCGGAACACCACCACCATCATCGTCATCATCTCATCATCGTGCACATCATCATCATCATCATCATCACCAACATCATCATCGGGACACCATCAGCATCATCAGCAGCATCAGCATCATCAACCTCATCATCATCTGGGCACCATCATCATTGCCACCGTCATCATCATTACACCCATCATCATCATCATCATCATCATCATCATCATCATCATCATCGGGACACCATCATCATCAACATCATTACCATTTATCACCATAATCTGGCCACCATTATCAAAATTAGCATCATCACCTCATCAGCATCCTCATCATCAACCTCATCATCACCATCATCATCGCAACACCATCATCGTCATCATCATCAACATCATCATCGGGACACCATCGTCATCACCACCATCACCATCATCATCAACCTCATCATCATCATTGGGACACCATCATCATCATTGACACCATCATCATCTCATCATCATCTTATCACTATCAACATTACCAGGATCGTCTACATCATCGTCATCGGGACACCATCATCATCAGCGACATCATCATCATCATCATCATCATCATCATCATCATCATCATCATCGGGACACCATCATCATCACCACCATCACCATCATCATCATCAACATCGTCAGCATCAGCATCATCATCATCATCATCATCATCAACATCATCATCATCATCATCATCGGGACACCATCATCATCACCACCATCACCATCATCATCAACATCATCGACATCATCATCATCATCAGCAGCATCATCATCATCATCGGGACACCGACGGGACACCGGCGGAACACTGGCGGGACACCGCGCGCCACTGGCCCCCGGTGATGAATCATTTGGTCCGGCCGCGCCTCAGCCGGAGGCGGGACACCGGCGGGACACCGCGCGCCACCGGCCCCCGGTCAGGAATCATTTGGTCTGGCCGCGCCTCAGCTGGAGGCGGGACACCGGCGGGACACCGCGCGCCACCGGCCCCTGGTCAGGAATTATTTGGTCCGACCGCGCCTCAGCCGGAGGAGACTTTCTTCTGGCCCGCCCACGCAGTTTCGCCTCGCCCGCACGCACGGCTCGCACGAACACGCAACCGAAACCGATTTCCCGGTAGGGGGCTCTCCGTTCCACTTCGATCTCACCCCCTCACCTCCGCGGAGCTGGTCGAATTGCACGGGAGGAGTACGTCCTCCGTGCGGGCTTCCTCGAGAGGGCTCCGCCAGGAGCGAGCGATGCACATATTCCTATTTATATACTTTTATAGGGCCGGGGACCCTGGACGGACCCCGGACGGACCCCCCCCTCCCCCGAGTTTCGGCCTTCCCCGAGATTTTCGGGCGGTCCCAGATGCGCCCCGGACGGCCCGAAATACTCCCAAGAGGGGTCCACGAGCGCTCCAAGACAGCCCAAGAGCGCTCCCAGAGACCCCAAGACCGCCCAAGACCGTCCAAGGGGGCCCCGAGACGCCCCAAGAGGCCTCTAAGAGGCTTCCCAAGAGGGCCCCAAGAGGGACATTTCATTGATTTTTGTATGGTTTCCAGAGGTTTTTCTGGTTCTCCCTTTTTCGGGCCAACATCAGCCCGAACCTGCCCAAGAGGCTCCACAGATCGCCCCAAGATAGCCCAAGAGGCCCCCCAAAGAGCCCGAAAGCGATCCAAAAGAACCCCAAGACAGCCCATGAGGGCTCCAAGACGGGCCCAAGAGAGCCCCAAGAGCGCCCAAAGAGGCACCCAAGAGGGCCCCAAGACGCCGCCA